TAGAACCATTTGAAGCTAATAAGTTAAAATCAAGCGAAGATTATATTCATCTAGTATTAGTTTATGCTAATTTATCTTGAAGTGATGATGAAGAAGTGTTTGCTGGTAGTGAAATCCTTATGATGATGCTTATTATGATTGTATAGTTGTCGATGTAAGTGGATCGGCCAGTGATTGTAAAAGCTCACCTCGTTTGGAAAAGCTAGCTACATCACTACGGAGTATTTGACATGCATGCATGCACAAGATAGTAATAAATCTAGAGAAAGGCAGCTTCTGGATCCACGCCCTATTCGTTTGGGCTTGTTTGACTTATAAGTCATGGCTGAAAGTACTGTTGGTAGGTTTGATGAGAGAGAAAAATAATGTTTATTAGGCTGATAAGCTATGGTTTATAAGCCAAATACGATCCAACGAACATGCTGGTGGTCATAAGCAGGCATGATCCAGCACAGCTACAGCCAAATAGTAAGGACCAAGAAGCGTGTGACTACAGACTACTGACTAGTGTTGGGTCCCATACAAGAGTAGACAATGGGCGTGGCTTATCCTCAGTGGTCACTTATTGGTCTGGTTATTGGGGACCAACAGGAACGACAGCATATAGTAGGGACTTGCACTATGTGGGCAAAAGGACATAATGCATATTAAGGGCGTACCACACGATCACACAAACACATAGGAAGCGGTACAAAAATGAATGCGAATACTGGTGATGCCTGCGGATTTTCGAATCCGCCTTATCCTCGAAGATTTGTCGCATAGTTGCATTGGATTCTTCAGAAAGAGATGTAGAGTATTAGTCACTTACTTCATCTATTCCAAATAAAAAAAACATGTCGTTCTAATAAGATTCAAAGTTTGTTCTACAAACATTATCATAGCTTGTATACGAATAGCTGGTGAGGCCATCGACATTGACTACATCTCCCTGGCTCATACATGCGTGCATAAATGCGTGTGGGCTCATGTGAATTACTCGCTCAGTCCCAGTATATAAGGCATAATCACCTCTGGTTTAAAGATCAACGAACGTGTTTAATTCTCTCTCAACACTAGTATTACAACATCGATGTACGTCTGTATAGAGAGAGCACGCCTTATATTATGGGACACGAATAAAAAAGAGTTACGCCTTATATATTAGGGCGGATGGAGTATATTGATCGAGTGGCTTGGCATGCATGTAGGTTATTAACTTAAGAAAGTTACGTACTATTTCCCATTAATTAATGCAACAAACACTTTAATACAACAGAAATCACCATAATAATTAGGGGCACCAATGTAAATTACTTGGAGCACTAGTATATATCATACAATTTGGTAAATTGGTATGGTAGAGTTAATACTACCCTTATCTATAGACTTGGTCAAACTTATATAGTTTTACTTGAAGAAATGACATGCAACTCATCTATGTCGTGGAGAAAAAATAGAAAAAAAAAGAAAACTTATACATTGAGATTTAAGACGAACCAGTAATCCTTGTATCATGGGATGGAGGGAGTGGATTCTAAGTTTTAGAAACAATGTCACTTTTTCTAGGTTGTGTACTTACCTTTCCTAGTCCATCTTGCAATGTTATTTGATAGAATTGGAAACTATCTAGGTTTCATAACTCTTTTACGTTAGAGATAGGAACACTTAGCAAAAACCATAGTACACATCTAGATAGGTATCTTACATAGGTTTTGGTAAGTATGTTTTATTTGGCCAATTAGTTATAAGTCGCCTAACTCACCCTTCGCTTAGGCATAATGATCCCTTCAGTGTGGACATAACCATCCAAAGCCAATCCTGCATCTCTATCTACAATTTCTTATACTTATCCAACATTATATTCTAGCATCTCATCTGGTATCTTATATCTCCCTTCCAATCTATATTGAACGATTGTCGTAGGAAGAGACATGAAACACCATCATATCCCAAGGTCATCCTGACAAGCAAGCACCTCCATCTAAGAACTCTATTTTGGATTAATTGTGACTCCAACATTTTATGTATGTGTGATTCCTGCTTCTACCCAAGCTACTCCTCTACGAGTCAAAAACTACAATCTCACTCACGTAGTGCTCGTTCTATCAGAGTAGACATAGCTTCAGAGCGTGCCCACCTCGTCAATGGCTATGCCTTCAACTTCACTCGAGTGTGGCTCGAGTGGCCACCAAATCTTTGGCAACATAGAAATAGGTTAACGACAGTACCATGAGAACAAAGGTACCCAGAGGACTTAATCTAACATAGGCATATAATCTGTTGGATGCTTGAGGTAAATTATAGGAAATTTGTGATAGTTTGCATAAAAGCATTGGTGTATGTTAAACATGATATGCTACGATCTTGTTGCTATTCCATTAAGTGATAACTCATAAATAAAACATGTGAAGATCAGGAAATCATAAGGGTATAACATGTTGCTCTCTTCCTACTCTGAAACTAGAAGTAAGAACAATCATGATACAAATGATCACGCTTTGGAAAGCTCTGCATATGTGTACAAATAAGCCCACATAGGAAACCAGTTCTAACCTTCATACCCGTGCCCGAATAAGGTTGACTCAGGATCCCAACCTTTCTCCGTAAATGGCCAAATCTCCCATGAACGATTTTGAAGTTGGGGTACTAGCCTATACCTAGCTACCCCGTGCTCCACCTCGTGCCGAATCAAAGCAGTTATCTGGTCATAAAAGGGTTGTTGGAAATATGGGACACCAGTTTCTATTGAAGGCTATTGCCCTGCTTCTATTGAAAACAAGATAGAGTACTGGGGACACCAGTTTTACAAAACACGCGCAGAGAAGCTAGATACCACCCACTAAGCACCTCCACAAGATCACCTAAGCATTACAGCTGGGGAACAGAACTAAAAACATAGAGATTTTGCTGTGGAATTTGCCATGTTCAGTTTATTATTAGGAAATAATTAGTGGCAAACATTTAGTCATATAACATGTTGGGAAATGAAAACGTAAAGACAGGTTTTGTAACCAATTTATAGAGCTATAGTACGTGATTTCCCTTCTAATAACTTTGCATCACATCAAGATATATAGACATTGACGTCTTGATTACTGCACACTACCCTAAATCTTGACATCACTGTTGGTTCAAAAAACCCCTTCACTGCCGGATTTTGAACCGACAGTGGCATACCGGCAGTGATGGGAGGCGGTCGCACGTCGCAAGTCACAAGTCACAAGTCATGCGATTTTTCACGCATTTCGCCGCCACCGGCGCTCAAACCCCTGATCTCCTCCTTCGCGTCTTCGGCCACTAACCACTCCACCTGCAAGTTGTTTGTGTTCAAATGAAGTTTTCGTTCTAGCCATTTTATGTTCATCTAATTTTGAAATGAGTATTTGGGACCTAAACGAATTCAAATTAAAATGTTGTCAACTATAAAGTTTTATAACTTTTCGAGATCTACAACTTTTATTTTGGTAGTTTCTCCATCCGAGGTCGTTTACAAAATTTGAATTTCAAATTTGAGAAATTCAAACGTAGTTTTCCATGACAAGATGATTTCAAATCAAAAAGTTATTAACTACAAAGTTTCATAACTTTTTGAGATCTATGACTTTTGTTTTTGCAGTTTGTCCATCCGAGGTCGTTTAAAAAATTCAAATTTTAAATTTTTTGAAATTCAAACGTAGTTTTCCTTGAGAAGATAATTTCAAATCAAAAAGTTATCAACTACAAAGTTTCATAACTTTTTGGGATCTACAACTTTTATTTTGGTAGTTTCTCCACTCGAGGTCGTTTATAAAATTTAAATTTCAAATTTTAGAAATTCAAAAGTAATTTTACTTGACAAGATGATTTCAAATCAAAAAGTTGTCAACTACATAGTTTCATAACTTTCTAAGATCTATAACTTTTATTTTGGTTATTTGATCATTTATTCATCCGACATAGTGGTAGCAACATTATTCACAAATGTTACACATCCCTCTTTTTCTTATAAAACTATAAGAGAGATATGTAAATTTTGTGAATAATGTTACCACCACTTTATCTGATGAAGAAATGACCAAAACAAAAGTTGTAGATCTTGATAAGTTCTGCAACTTCTATGTTCATGACTTTTTAGCTGAAATCATTTATTGTTCTAAAATGACGTTTGAAATTGCCATTTTTTTGAAATTCAAAATTCAAATAGATAAAACACAGTCACATGAAAATATTGATAAAATAATAGCGGTAAGAACACAATAAATTGATAGGGCATGATTTTAGAAATTTTTAGGGAAAAATATCAAATTTGAAGTCAGTACGAGGGAGAAAGACTAATTATAAGTTTTAGCCAGAGATTAAAAAGAGAAATCAGAATTCTTTAAAAAATTCAAAATTTAATTTCAAATAGTATTTTTGAATAGTAAATGATCTCAAATGAAAAAGTTTTCAACTACAAAGTTACATAACTTTTCGAGATCTACAACTTTTGTTTTTGGCGTTTCTTCATCCGAGGCTGTTTGAAAATTTTAAATTTTAAATTTTAGAAATCAAACGTAATTTTTGTTAGATGGATTATTTCAAATGAAAATATTTAAACATCCAAACGATCTTAAATTAAAAAAGTTTGAACAACAAAGTTGTAGACCTCGTCGAGTACTATAACTTTGATATAAAGTTCATCTTCATCGGACATCATATGAGAAACTTATGAAGTTTTCTTACAGCATATCACTGTCGGTTCAAGCCACGAACTGACAGTGATATTATCAGTGTTGGCTCTTGGCTAAAACCGACAGTGATGACCCAATATCAGTGTCGGTTCTTGGTTAAAACCGACAGTGATATGAACCGACAGTGAATTCTCGAATATCAATGTCGGTTCGTTCTATCACTGTCAGTTTTAGCCAAAAACCGGTAATGATGGGCTATCACTGTCGGTTTTTAAAAATCCGGCAGTGATGAGGCCGACAGTGATGTCCAATTCTGTAGCAGTGACATATACCTCTTGTTCAGTATGTACATATCGACTTGGAGTATCGTCAGACCAATGCTTTTAGTCTTTCAGAAACTCCGGATACCTCTATGCCGATTCTTGAGCTAAAGGCCTGCGGGAGTGAAATGCAATTGGGCTCGAGTTAGTACGCCACTTGATTTGGTGAAAATCTTCAGGAATGCTACTGTGAAATGCAGTGTATGTATGCTGATTCTTAAGCTAATTAAAGGCCTGCGGTCAAGAGTGTGCATTCACAGTACCATTCCTGAAGATTTTCACATAAGAGAATATTGTAAATAAACCGTCATTAGAAAAGTTGAATTTACTGTACTCTATATGAGATGTACGCTCTTATTATAGCTAGTACTATATGTTACTATTATATTGGAGAGGCTCTAAGAGCAACAAATATAATCTCAGCTTAACTAATTAATGATAATATATAATGGCCGTACTGGTTACAGCATACTAACCTAGCGCTAGGACTAGGAGATAGTACCAAATTAAAGATAGAAAAAATGCAACAGATTAATGAAAAGCCTGTATACCCGGGAGTGGATGGTGTAGAAGATTTTGTGGCCGGAGATGGAGAAGTTGGCGTTGACAATCTCGGCACCTTCTTCCTCCAGCACGGTGACCACCTCGTGCAGCTTGAACGGCCGCTCCACACCGCTGATGAGCACCACGTCCAGGCTCGACCCGTCGTGATGGTGCCGGACCTCCACCACCGGCGCCACCACCATGGCCGCCTCCTCGTTGGCTTTTTCTGACCCGGCGCCGCCGCCGCTGCTCGTCCCTGCCGATGTCGAGGCTCCACCACCACAACTACCTCCTCCTTTCTTGGCAGCCAAGAGCTGTGCAGAGCTCCTCTTCTGCTGCAGCTCGTCCACCCTTTCCTTGAGCTTTTTGATGTACGCAGCCGCTTCGTCCAGGCTATCCTGCTGGGTCATCGTATCCTATACACATGTATACGTAAATGCATATATACAATCAGCCTGTGTGTTTTATCCAACCTTTAAATTACCGCAGATATTCCACTGTAGAAATTGAAGAAAAAAACAGTGCTAGAGAAAACAATTATTTGAAGGAATATTCCAATATCTAAGTGCAGTTGATGAAGAAAGCAACATTTTCCAAGAAATTTATCAAATGTCCATGTAGATTCTAATGTCTAACTGCACGCAGTTGAAGAAAGCGACGCTTCAAATCAAAAACAAATACCAAATATATGTCCATGTAGAAGCCAACAGCTTTCATCAATATAGTATTTCATGTGGGAAGAGAAGAACTAATTAAGTTCGATGACTAATAGGTAGTTAATAGCCAGAAGAGCTATCACAGTCGTTCACCTGATCCTAGTACAACTGAAAGATCTATCAGGGTGTGTATTTAGATACATATACTCCCTCTGTCTCATAGAAAGTGTTATTTTCGTTTCTCGACAAATCAAATATTTTTAAATTTCACCAAGTATATATAAAAAATATAAATATTTATGGTACATATTTAGTATAATTAGATAGATCATTGAATATATTTTAACATAAATTTATTAAAAGATACAAATATTGTTAATATTTTTTCTACAAACCTAGTTAAACTTTACATGGCCTCTAATATTTTTTTATGGGAGGGAGAGTAGAGCAGTACTACTATTAAAGAAGAGTCACATCAATTAGTACTGATACTAGTTAGCCCGCCTCGAAGACACGCCCTTATTGAAGAATTAATGGCTGGGGAAGTGTGGAGTGGCATGGGGTACCTTGGATGAGTGTTCTTTGGGGATGAGCGAGGCGAGCTTCAGGCAGAGGCTCTTCATGTGTTGCCTTCTGTTCCTCTCGATCTCCTTCCTCTCCACCGCCGCCGTCGATGTGCCGCTGCTATTGTCGTTGCTCGCTTTTCGTCTCCTACTACCTTCTGCTGATGGTGTACTTTTACTGCAGCTCCTCTTCACATCCATCTCTCCCCAGCCCCGCTTCTGTCTCTCGCCTCTCTCTCTCTCTCCTCTCCTAGCTCTCCCTGGATCTGGGGCACGGGCAATAGTGGTCTGTAGATAAAGGCAAGCAAACAACATAATAAAGTACTGTAATAAAAAAGGTGCAACTATGCAAGCAGCTAGCAACAAAGATGACTGGAGAATAAGATCTGGGAGTTGAGAGGATGTTATGCTTAGGACCTATTTGGCATGGCTCCTCCTGAGAAGCTCTTTTGGAGGAGCCGGAGCCGTTTTGGAGGAGCCACAAATTGTGGCTTCTCCAAAACGGCTCCGGCTCCTCTGTTTTTTACTGAAAAACGGCTCTTCCAAAAAAACGTTTGGCAGGACTCCTCTGGAGGAGCCGGAGCCGGAGCTGGAGAGGAGCCCTGCCAAACAGGTCCTTATACCGGGCCTTGTTTAGTTTCAGAGTGTAAAGTTTTAGGGTGTCACATCGGATATCACATGAGGGTGTCGCATGGGGTGTTCGGATACTAATAAAAAAATAAATTACAGAATCCGTCAGGAAACAACGAGACGAATTTATTAAGCCTAAATAATCCGGCGTTAGTACATATGTTATTGTAACATTTTATTGTCAAATCATGGACTAATTAGACTTAAAAGATTTGTCTCGTAAAGTAGTCGTAATATGTATAATTAATTATTTTTTTAGTTTATATTTAATATTTTATATATGTGTCAACCATCAATAGAGTGTAAACTTTTAGGAGGAACTAAATAAGGCATGAGGAGTGAGTATGTAAAGTACTACTGCGTGTGTGTGAACGATCGACAAGACGAGGGAATGAATGTGGGCAGCAGCAGAGAAGTCAGAGATACAGGTAAAGGACAAGTGGCCACTGGCCACGCAAGCTAGTATATACCTGCTTCAGCCAATAGTGCTGGATCGGAATATCGGATACAGATAAGGAGCGAGATGATCGCCGGCCGGGCCATATACCAGTGAACTGTATATAATATATGCAACGGCACATATGCGAACTCTACAACAAGAACTACTCTCTCCCGATTAAATTATAAGTTTTTTCTATTTTTTTAAGAGTGAAAGCATATCAAGTTTGACCATTAAAGTTTAAGGTAAAGTGTGTAGGTACATCTATAAAGACAAGTGTACGTGCATATTCCCTTCATCCAAAAAGTATCGCTACGGGTTCATGCTGATCAAATTTTCTTTGAGTTTGATTATATTTATATAAAATATTAATATTTATATCTAGCGTGTCCGTGCGTTGCTATGAGATAACTAACAATTTATACTAAAAACACGGATCGCATAATAAGATAACAATATTGTTAAATTAAATACCAACGTTAAAGTGACATTTAATTCAAAAAGCAAAGTTTATGAATTTAACACAGTCACATAGTGCGTGGCGTCGTAGGCTTACAAACTCTAGAACTTCCAGAGATTGGGCCGAATCCAACCTAGAGCCTCGAAACCCTTCATTTTTTCTGGACGGGTTTCACTTCAGATGCGTCGGTAGCAATATCAACGATCTCTAGTCGATGGACCAAGTCGTATGGATCCCCATACAATGGCTCAGACATGTAGATTTTGTTCTCCTTGTGCTTAGATACACTTGTTCCACTGAAGCTTTCATTGAAATGTTTAGACACGAACGGTGTCTGATCACCGATGTCCCTCACCCTGGACCACTCCGGCGTACGGTCGTGGAGGTTGCACTTATAGATCGCGCTGATGTAGGTGAAGCTCTATGTCTCGTGGAACGTGCTCACCATGGCACCCACAATGTACAGCTTACCGTTTGATTTCGGTAGGCTGCGGTGGTGAGCCCCCAGTGGTGGCGATGATGATGGCAAGCAGCGTCATTTGTTGGAGTAGCGCGTGGCATTCTTTGTCTGTATGAGACGAAGATTTCTCGGTCGATCGATCGCCAAGAACTTGTCTTGACAGTGGACGATGGACCCCCACGGAGAACTCCAGTTTGGTGTCGAGCAGCATCCATGCGCCGTCGACTCCAACCTAGCAGAACGCGACCTCCGTGGAGCACCCAAGCAATGAATAAATGAATGCACATAGTACCATTAACATAATCAACAAAACAAGTCAAGCTAAATTGAAAAAAATAAAAAGAAACAAAATCATGACTTAAAGACTATACGCACATCACTCACGGTCACCTAGACCGAGAACGCCTGATGCCTTCATCTCAAGCTGCATCTTTTCCTGTCTCCATGCGAAACTAAAACAATCAATGGGCTTATTCGCTGGTTGGTGCTGGTGCTGATCTGAGCTGAGCTGGCTGGTGCTGGTTTTTTGTGAGAGGAAAACACTGTTGGCTGGCTGGTTTGGGCTGGCTGAAACCAACAAGCGAACAGGCCGAATATTTTTCCATCCCTACCTGCATGCAAATAAAAAAGAGAGATATGTAAGTACCTAGCCAAATTATGTATCTTGTGCAAAGATAGTGAGTAGGACTCTAGCGAAGAAAACACTTTCTAGCTTGGTGTTGAGGATCTGTCGACCACGGTGGTTTATCAAGTACGGTATTTGTTAAACTAAACATCAAGTCAACCATTTAAGTGAACACGAGAACAAGATCCTTTTTTATTTCTTTTGAGCAAACTTATGATAGACAAATGTACACTCATTAATTGAAAAAAAATAATAACCTATGATAGACAAATGTACATTCATTAACTAAAAATAATAATAACCTATGATAGACAATTGTACACTCATTAACTAAATAAATAATCAGACAAAGACATAATTAGTGCCAAAAAGCAAAGTTCATTTTATGAGAGCAGGAGCAAGTCTACACAGATAACCACATACATCTAAATTAGTACGATGTCTGTTGGATATATATACGTTTGTTAGTTTCTTATGGAGCAATTTTTGCATAAATGTATAGCCATGAATCTGGCTAAAGCTTGAGAAGATAGTGATTGTAGTACATAAACCGGATGACCAACCTTGATAAACGTTCCAAAAATACGGGATATACAGTGTGCCCGTGCGTTGTTACGGGACAACTAAATTTTTATATTAAAAATACACAGATCGCACAATAAGATAACAATACTATGAAAATAAATACCCACATTAAAATGACATCAATCAAAAAGCAAAGTTCGTAAAATTAACACGGTCACGAAGAGCACGGCGTCGCAAGCTCACCGACTCTACTATATAGACCTTTTGCAAATTTTTGTGGACTCAGATAATTAACAAATAAACAATGTCCCATCACATTTTTTTACTATTCACCGTGTTTTTTTAAGAAAACATATGGAAAGACATCGTTGGTTTTTAACTTTTTTTACATCATCACTGATCCAATTGAAGAGAGAGGACCATAATTTTTTTAAGAAAATAATGTCTATGAATTGTCATATTCTCAGAAAACTGAACTGGTTGTCATCTTCCTATTTTTGCCAGTAAAATTATCTGAGCTTTATATGTATAACCTGAAAACTGAACTGCTTGTCATCTTTTTATTTTTGCCAGTAAAATTATCTGAGCTTCATATTTATAACCTGGACTCAACATGGCCATGCCAAGACATAAAAAGTTACCTTAGTTATAATATCATTATATTAAGCTCAATAACATGGCAGCTGATTGTGCTCTGCATCAAGCATCAGTGTATCAATGCCAATCATTGACTCATCCTCTAGAGTTTATAAATATAAGCCATGGCGATAAATTGCAACAATTCAGGGCAAGTTCAGTGAGAAATCCCTCTTTTTTAAGGTTTAACTTCAGTGAGAAATCATCATTCTTTTTCTTACCTGCCTACATCAGATTGTTCAAAAATAAACAAAGATCAATCCACAAACATTTTGTAGTGCAGAGATAACTTTATGACCTAGCTTGGTGTTGCTGTTACGGGAACACCAATTCAGCGAGCGAGGTCTAGAGGTGCAAAGGCCTGATGCCAAACATCTGAATACCATCCAGTGTAATAAAAAAATTAGCAAGCCAAAAATTCAGTGGTCATAAAAAAAGGTTGACAAGAGAAAAGTATCTAATATATTTTACCAGTAAAGTATCTGACATTGGTACACCAAGCTCATGAATTGAGACTATCAATAAATAAATAAGGCTCGGGCTACTTGAAACGAGATTGGTACAGACAAAGGGCAAACTATGCTAAAAAAACAATGGCATCCAATGTGCAGGCACACAATATCGAAAAAATAGATGATTAACTATATAACAAGAATGTCTGCAGCATCATGAACTATGGTTGTGTAACATCATGAACGACGAGCGATGGAGGACGGGCGACGTCAATCGGTCTACATATGCGAAGACGACGGCTCGAGTGCACGACTTAGGTGGCGTCGAGGTAGCGGCGCGATAGCCGGGGACGATGGCTCAGGTGCATGGCGCGGGCGAACGGCGAGGACTACGGTGCGGATGTCGTGGAGGCGGCGATGTTTCTAGGTGCACGATGAGGGCGAACGGCGAGGACAACGGCGCGACGTTGTGGAGGCGGTAGTGTACGTGGCGCACGGGGAGGATGACGGCGCGGGCGCACAGACCAGACGATGGAGCAGGTCGTGGAGGGGAGATCGCACGGGGAAGGGAGATCGCACAGGGAGGTGATCTTGCGGCGACCTTACGGCGATCAATGATGTAGCCACAGGTGCATCCATTGGTAGGCAGACGGTGAATGATCCATTGCTGTTGCTTCTCCACTACACGACGAGGAAGAAGTAGGGGCGGCTCGATCGTGCAAGGGCTTGAGGAATGGGGCGCGCGACGATCGTCTCCATGCAGCGACCAGTGACGCGCTTGAGTCCTACCAAGAAGACGCGTTCGATCATGCAGCGACGATGGTCTTCCGTGTTTGTAGCGTATGCAAATCAGGGTCAAGAATTTCATATTTGTGGCACGAGGGCGGTATGATCGAGCGTGAGACGTGGGTGATCGCTTTCCTGTTTTGAGGCAATTAGGGTCAAGACTTTCCGTGTTTGTAGCGCATGCAAAT